CCTACCTGAGCCTTCCTTTCGGGCTCTTCGTCCTATCCCCTCCCCCTCTTCGCATTAACTCTTTCCTAAGGAGTCTGACCCCTCCCTCAGGGCCCTCCCCTTACCCCAAGCTCCCTCCCCTGGCTGGTAGCCAGGATCCGAACGTGGCTATCGCCTGGGGCCCCCTAAACAGCCGGGAGGACCTTGGAGCCTCAACTAGGGCTACTCCCACGCCCACTCTCCAGAGCCTCGGGACTTAGTGAAGAGCTGCAGAGCAAAGGGCAGGGCCCCGGACATGGGTCGACTGCAGCTGGACTGGGGCCGCTCGTCCAGCACCTCCCCCAGACTGCCAGGGACATAAACCAGTGAGGAAGCGAGCGGCACGCCCCCTCCCCCATTTCCCTGCTCTGGCTTTCCGACACAGAGAGGAAGGCTGGAGTCAAAGTTGAGGGGTGAAGGGCGAGCAAGTGTCTCTCTAGATAAAGGTGTGTGCGTGTGGGAGAGAAGGACAAGAGCTGCTGCCAAGAACTAGTCCTTACTTTTCTGGGCCACACAGGCTTCAATATTTCAAGGTTGGAGATTCATGCCCTTGAGCCATGTATTTGGGCACCTAATTGCACTTCGATTAGTGTTACTCTTTGCTACTTGTTAGCGGTAAATCAGGGTTGTTCAGTCGTCAAAATATAATTAGCACCCCGAGAGCAAGGTACAGTTATGCTAGGCAAAAAATAGTTAACAGAGGCTGCATTAGAAAAACAAGAAATAAGACCAACGTGCTTAGACAAACTAAAGGGGGTGGGGCTACCATAACAAACACAAAACAACAAGCCTCTGCACCTATTTATCCCTGGAATGAAATAGATAGCAAGAAAGACTGAATGTACCAGAGTTTCAGACGTACCACAGCTACTGCTGTTCTCCAAAGTGGTTCCCCACAGGCGACCACACAGTCTAACCTAAGTAGGGAATGCCCCAAACAGGGTCAAGCTCCTGCTGGGTTAACTCTGTACCTCCCAGGCCAGCTACCAAAAAGGCCAGGAAAAACAGGCCTTAGCAACAGGAAATGCCATGTGAGCGAGAATCAAGGCTACAGCGGTGGGGAAATGGAGCAAGGGAAAGTTTCACGTCCTAGAAATCGATTATGTGAACTAGAGAAAAAACTAGGAGAGTAGCCAGATGATGCCACTGTCACATCTCCCTTGTCCCTTTTTACTTAGGAAGCCCCAGAGGAAGAAAGATAACAGATTTCTAAATATTGTTGTTAGTTGGGGGAGGGGGAGACTTGGTGGCCCAAGCCTGTAAGCCCACTTCTTGGGAGGCGGACACAGGGCTGCTATGAATTTGCACAACTTTGGACTACATGGGAGGATGCTCTCAAAAACAAAATCCAAAATTGCCGTTGCTTACCAATTCAAAATCCTAGTGTCTACCCTTGATGAGTACAATAAATATGCCTTTTAGGCATATAGAAATAGCTTAAGAAAAAGCTGCCTGGCTATTTTCTTAAAATCGCTTAAGTAGTTAGGAACTCCAATATGTCCAAGGTTCCACCTGATAACCAGAATCCCATGACATCATTTACTCAAGATAACCAGACACGGGCTCCAGAGAGATGGCTCAGCGGTTAAGAGCACTGACTGCTCTTCTAGAGGTACTAAGTTCAATTCCTAGCAACCATATGGTGGCTCACAACCATCTCATAATGAGATCTGGTGCCCTCTTCTGGCCTGCAGAACACTGTATACATAATATATAATAAATGAATAAATCTTTAAAAAAAAGATAACCAGACACGCGACTGAGTAAGCAGAGAACCCCACGGCTCCTAACTAAGCCATTTCTCTACCAACGTCTTAAAACGGTGCTCATCACATTACCAATTCAGAGCAGCCAATTTGGCCACCTGAGGATCTCAGCCCTTTCTCTGCTCAGGCTCATCTCCTGAACACAGGTGGTCATCTATGTAAAAACACGGGTAAGCATTTGACGGGGAGTGGCTCTGGTTTCCATGGGGACACTCACTCTATACCTCTCTGGAAGGCTCTGCTTTGAAAGTTGCTGTTTTCATGGACACAGTTCTAGATGTCTAGAACGGCTCCACCGAAAATCAGCTCAGCAATTTCCTGAAGCTTTCATTGAGTCTCAGCTTCCAAGTAGGAAGGTTGATTGCACAGAGTCAGACCCACAACAGCAGCAGCCTGGAAGTTAATGCTAGTGAACCTTAAGTGGAATAAATCCACAGCTTCTCAGGGTAGCTCTGTATTTTCTTAACTTTGGTTTTTTGTAGACCAGACTGGCCTTGAACTCAGAGATCCTGCCTCCGCTGTTGGGACTAAAGACTTGCTGTTGGGACTAAAGATTTGCATTACCATATTAAACTGTTTTCTTTAGGTTCTAGAAATCATCATTTGAATAGTCTCTAACCTTTGTATACAAATTAGATTATACTCCCCAAGGCTACTGGAAACCTGTCTGAAACTAAAGTACTGAAACTGATTAGTCCACCACATACCAAGGGAAAGGCCATACCAGATACAGTTGGTCTTCAGAAGAGCATAGGTTTGCAGTTAAAGGGAATCCACAGAGCAGTAGGAAAGCGGTGTCTGTGTCCAAGTCCCCAGCGGAGGCAAAGCACTGTGACACTGCCTCCCTGCTTTAGCCCTCATAAACAAGTGATCTATTTAATGTCATGGCTTTTGCCCTTTTGTGCTTTTTTTGGTGATTTTACTGCTTAAAAATGACTCCCATGAGTAACGTTGAAATGTGATTTAATATTCTTAAGCACAGAAAGCTTTATAGAGAATGTTGTTATATAGCTTCATTCATCTCAACTATGACAGGATTGTTAAGTTAGACTGTCTCAAAAGAAACAAGACAGTTTCATTGACTAATTCAACAGCATTGCCCTGAATGGTGAGAGGTGCCTATTTTTATGCATAACTCTTCCATCCACCCCTTAGGACTAGGGCAACAGTGATGTTATGCACCAGTACCACCAGCCTCAGAATGCTTTTTGATACCTTGGATTTGAAGAGGTATGCAACTGGTTCCTGTCCTTGGAAGGGATATGCTATTATATACACCATATGTTTAAAGGAGAATTTAACAAGAGCTACAGAACTGTCCAGTTTTATTCTGTATTTATTGATCTTTTCTTTCTTTGCTTTTCATAGGTGAACTGTTCAGAAACAAGAAGCTGGTCATAGACATCAGGTCTACTAGATAATTCAATACAGAACTCTAAACTAGGACTGGGCTTGGTGATATAAATAGATTGAAGCAGAAGTCAAGCTGAAGGCAGCCTGGGCTACATAGCAAGACCGTCTCTTACAAACACAACACAAGGCCCCATCTGTAAATTATAAGATGGCATTCAGATGTATAAATCTGAAGAGAATATGTCAAGTATCCCATGAAAAAATAAGTCTAGCATCAAAATTTCAGAAACAAGGCACTAGGATCGGGCAATGAAGAGAGGGACAACCAGAGGTTCAGATGACAAAGGAACAGTGTTCAACAGTGTACCTGGAGCCAAACACGAGAGGTTTCACAGAAAACCCGTCCTCTGTCTACAACAGCACAGGCTAATTTCTACAGCATGATAAAATGAAACAACTACCCTGTTGAAGTCAGGTTTACTGAGGACCTTCCTCTTGTTTATCAAGTAATAGAACTGGAAAGTGTAAAAACCAGAGGACAATCTTGGAAGTTGGCTCTTTTCTTCAATCATGTGGGTCCTGGGAACAAACTCAGGCCATGGACTTGATGGCAGGGACGACTTGTTGAACCAAGGTGGTAACCTTGTCAACTCCCAAACCCTGTTTTCTAAGTCTTCCTGGAATAAGGAAATCAATGTAAAGAACTTGGGAAGGCTAACAGGGGCAACAAGTTAAAGCCAAGAATAGCTTAATGTATACAAGAATAGAGCACAGTTAAATGCCCCCCAAGGAAGGAATCTCAGTTGGTGCAGGGATATAAAAGCAGCGGAATGAACCAAGATAAAAATCAGTAGCTAAGACAGATTTGGAGGAGAGGAAAACATTTAAGGTGAAGCCAATGTAAAAGAGTACTCAGGCTTAAGCTGCAGAAATCCTTCCACTCTTACCTCCTGCCTCGTGACTGCAACCATATTCAGGCTCTGTTCTTTCATAACCAGATTCTTTTTGACATTGATGGAAGTCCCAAACAAAATCTTTGAGTCATTGGTAGCTTTTGGGTGAGGAGTGGTAAAACAGACTTTTTTTTTTTTTTAAATACAACTCCTAGCATTTATTTTCATTTATGTTTTTTCTTTTCTTTTTTCTTCTTGGACAGGGTTTTTTTCTGTGTACTCATGGCTGTCCTGGGACTCAGTCTTAAACCAGGCTGGCTTTGAACTCAGACATCTGCCTGTTTCTGCATTCCCAATGCTGGGATCAAAGGTATGCATGCACCACCATGCCCGGACTCCCTAGGAACTATTTTTAAAAAATGTTTGTGTGTATGCACATGTGTGCGATTGCCCAGAAGCCAGAAAAGGGTGTTGGAGCCTCTAGAACTGGAGTTACAAGTGGTTGAGTGCTGGAAACAGGACTTGAGTCTTCTGCAGGTCAGCATTCACTCGTAACAGCTGAGTCATCTCTTTGCAATCCCTCCATCCTCCACCCCCACCTTTTTTCTTGGAAATGGCCTTGTACTGTCATTTAGACTGACCTGAAACTCACTGTGTAGCCCTGTCTGGCTTCAACCTCCCAGCAGTCCTCCTGTCTCAGTCTCAGAGACTTTACTCACACCTAAAAAGAAGCTGTTCTTTACAAGTCTTTGCATATTTACTGAGTCCATAGTAGTTGAAGATAGGACACAATTTAAGAAACCCTGAAGATTCTCAACAAATTAATTGATTATAGTTGAATATCTTACTTTGAGAACAAAGGCTGACAGGACAGAAAGGACAAACACAATTTTAGAATAAAACAGGTGTATTTCTATTGGACTACCTGATACAGAAGATAGTGTGGCATGGATGGATAGTATCAATGACAAATAATACAAATATATTTTATTTGAAATAAACAAAAATGCTTACACAGCTTTCATCCGCAAACAAACTCCCGCTTGACTGTATTACTAAGCAAAAAACAAAGCTGAAGCAAACACCCTTCTGTTTTGACTGTGTTTGGAGACAGGTAGGAAGACACTACTTGGTTTTTTAAAAAATTGACCTTCCCCTAAGGCCTGGTCATAGAAATGTAAACAATGTAAATGAGTCCACCATTACCAGTTGTCATAGGTCACATCACATTACCTGTGTGCTCTGAATCACACATGCATACCTCCAACACACCCGGGAAGATAGCTATATCACAGTTACAGGATGACGGAGAGAGTAATTTGGAATGAGTTTTACATCTTGTTTAGTAGGAGAAAGCACTAGCATTCTCTGAAATCCAGGCGATGGCAGACAGACACTGCCTAGGAGTCACTTTGACTTTGGTTCATTCCAGCTTTGTGGGTAACATAGCTGTTTGATTCCTCTGCTTACAGAACAAGCCTGCCAGAGGGCATTAAAACACAGCTACCCATTATCTCTTCAACACCTGTGGTTTTCAAGTTTTATACTCTACTACGTCCACAGTATGTCACCAGTTCTTGAATATTAAACAGAAATACAAATGGGCAAAACTCTTCTAAAAAATCTGACATCTGTTGAGGCATTCCTGCAGATATTGCCACTGACAGGAAAGTGGACAGAATGAAAACTTGGTGCAGCCAGACTTGGTCAGACAGGATCAAGACTTCGACAATCTGATCCTGTGTTTTAATTTTTTCACACATTTAAACATAGTAGAACTTTGGGAAAAAAAGTCTCCACATGACAATTCTCAAAACAAAGCTTCGGGGCTAGCTACATCAAAATTCCCTTGCCAAATAGTAAAGCACCTGTGTCCTTTACAATAAGAATGAGTTTTATTGACTGACAAACAGAATTTAGGGCTGAGGCCTAGAAAGGAAGGATACGTAATAGACATAAGTTCTATTCACTGAGAGACAAAGCCCAGGACTAGGGCCTAAACAATACTCAGAATATTGTGTGTGGGAAGGGGTGGAGTGGGGCTTCAGTTGGAGGTTGCTAATAGAATAGCAAAGGATCCCCAGGTAGTTTGATCCTGTCATTCCAGCATTCCAGGTGATCAGGCATTTCTTTCCATTAAAGAAAATAGGCCCATGTGATTGACTGACAATCCTGGTTTTCCCCAATGGATTTTCTAAGCTGCACTTCCTGCAGACATCTATGGCTACAATGGAAGTATATGGGAGGAGACGAGAGAATGAAAATAAACGTTTATGTGCAGGGAATGTGGTTCAAGTCTTTGGATTTAAAAACAAGTTCCCAGAGAAGCTGCTGCCATGGAATATTCAAGAAACTTCCTTTGCCTCCCAACATGGACCCAAAATGCCCCAATCCAAATGTATGAAAACTATAATTGTGAGATGCTATAAACAATCAAAGCAGTCAGACAGAGGAGTGTGTCGTCCACTTAGTTACAGTTCATAACATAGCCTCTTTAGCAATTGGTGGATCAGTAAAAGCCACTGAAGCACTGGAATTGCTTTAAAGCATGGGGTAAAGAGTACTGACCAAATACTCTGTAAAAACCAGCAACAGGACGTCATGGCTAGGAAATTTTCTAAACAGCAAAATGACTTCAGGATAGATTTCTTTGACATTAAATGTAGCAGAATTAAAAAAAAAAGATTTACAAGTAGATATAGTGATAACAGAAAATTACAAGGCAGAGAACACACACACACAAAAGAATCAAGACAGTGCTGTAGGCTCAACAGTATTCCATGAGGCTAGAAGATCTGTTAACTTTGTTAACTAGCAAAATATCACTCTTGTTTGTTTATAAATCACCTATTGATCATATGACCACACCATGTTGAATCCTTTTCTTTCTTTGTACTGGAGACTCCTACAGTTGGCCTTTAAGCATTCTGCATTTCTTTGCCAATCTTGTAACTGAGTATCTTGTTCCAGTCGATTTTGGTGCGGGTAACTGGAAGCTGCCGGCGCAAGGCCTTGAACGTGGTGTCTGACATTGTCTGATAGTTTTCACTAATTGCTGTCTGTAATAGATAATTGATGATGAGTTGTTTGTAAACAGGAAGGTAATCAGACAAAGGGCATGCTAGAAAGGACACAGGACAACATGTATGTTGAGCTCCACTTCAATCTTAAAAGCAAATCAAACTCATCTGTATCCTGGTACATGGCTGCAGTCTCATAATTGTAAACAGAATGCCAAACTTCAGGGTCTGTAGTCTCACACTTAGCAGTGCCCAGCAGTGCATGTTCTTATGTTAAAGGATTGAACAAAATCACAGAAAAAAAATCCTTCCAAATCTTCTTACCTGATACTCATTTTCTGCACTCTCTATGATTTTAATAAACTCCTTGGCAGTTTGGACTTCATTCTAATGAAATAAAAGAGGGGAATAATATTTTTTAAAAATGGGTAAGCAATGAAAAGACAGAAAAGCCCACCCCATGAACTGACACTTGTACAATGATCCTAGCATATGCAGCGCTCAAGTGCACATTCTCTCTTCTTAATCCTAAGACAACACGGTGAAGTGGATATGCTATTATCAGCATGTTCATTTGGCAGATGACAAAACAGAACCTTAAGTGACCTGACCAAAATTATACAGCTTATGAATAATAACGAAAGGATCTAGGGCTTGGTGGCTCAGCAGGAAAAGATGCTTGTACTCAAGTCTGACAACCTGAGTTCACCAACTAGAACCTTCACAGTGGTAGAAAAACTGACTTCTATAGGTTGACCTCTGTATAAATGTACACCACCCTCAAATAAATTAATGTACCAATAATAGGGAAAAAAAAGGACAGTGACCTAAATCTAGGACTTTGCCATAAGAATCGATGTTCTCTCCATTTTACCATTAAATATTCCCCAAACATAGCATCCTATCTTGAAATTCTTTGCATGTGCAGTACTATAGATTGAACCTTATGAATATTAGGCAAATACTCTACTGCTGAGCTGTATCCCCAGCCTTCTTTTCCTGTTTTGTCCCCCCCCCCCCCCCCCGAGACAAGGTTTCACTGTATAGCCTTGACTGTCCTGGCTGTCCTGGAACTCACTCTGTAGATCAAGCTAGCCTCCAACTCATAGAGATCCTCTTGTTTCTGCCTCCTGGGTGCTGGGATTGAATGTGTGTGCCACCACAACCCGGGATGTTTTATCTTTTTTGACACAAGGTCTTTTGTATTGCAACAGGCGTTGACTTGCTATGTAGCCAAGGATAACTTTAATTTCCAATTCTCTTGCCTTCATCTCTCAAGCACTAACTAGCACTACAGGTATACCACCACACTCAGTTTCTCAGCCCCCTTTCCAGATTTATTTTTTAATTTATGTGTATATGCGTGTATGCATATTTGCCCTCAGAGGCCAAATGAAGAGGTCTCTGGAGCTGGAGTTGCAGGTGGCTGTAAACCACTACTATGAATGCTGGGAACTAAACTGTGATCCTCTTTCAGAGTCATCTCTCCATACCCTACCTCCCCTCAGAAGTCCTTTAAAAAGTTTAGTTTTAAGACAGGATCTCATGGCAAACTTCTATGCTGAAGCAGGCCTTGAACTTACTTTTTTCTAAAGACTTATTTTATTTTTAATTATGTACATATGTGTGTATCTGTATGTAGGCTTATACATATCTAAGCTGCCAAGGCTGACCTTGAAGTTCATCTATAGTTCAAGATGACCTGTTAAAATGTTTTGAGACAAGGTCTCCTATTGACAAGGCTAGCCTTGAACTTCTGATATTCCAGTTTCCACTTCCCAAATGCTGAAATTATAGAACTGTGTCAACACATCAGATGGCTGTGGCGCACGCTTTAATCCCAGCACTTGGGAGGCAGAGGCAGGTGGACCTCTGTGAGTTTGAGGCCAGCCTGGTCTACAGAGCTAGTTTCAGGGCTGTTACACTGAAAAAGCCCGTCTTGAAAAACCAAAAAAATAAGAACTATGTCAACATGATTTTTAATTACATATTTTAACTTTACTGAATTTTCATTATTTCATCAAAGATAATATCTCATGTTGTAGTCTATTCTTGAATTAACAACAATCTTTCTGCCTCAGTCTTTGAGTGTGAAGATTACAGGTATGCCCTGCCATGTCAAGCAGCTTTTTATCTATCTATCTATCTATCTATCTATCTATCTATCTATCTATCTAT